TAATAATTAATTTAGAAGGTTCTGAAAGAGAAGAATTGGCTCAAAATGGGAATTGGACCCATAACTCCCGCTTACCGTGTAGTTGGGTTACCAGATATGATACACAGACCTCCATCTTAATTGGTTATCAACATATTAATAAATGGAATATTAATTATTAGTTGGACTCAAATTGGGACAGAATTCAATAGAATAGAAGTCTAGGTAGAAAGCATTTTGAGATAATAGTATCCTCTGAAAGAACTTCTTAACAAAGTTTTACTTTATTGGCTTTTTTTTCAACTTGTGACCATCTAATAATCTGTATTTCATTTGTGGAAAGTCCACCAGTGGCTAAGCAGTTCCATTCCCAGAACACTGGGAGTTTGTACCTTGCCAGGACGGGCTGGCCATATGGATTTTTCTAGGTTTTCTCCATTCTGTAATGCCCAAACAGGGATCAGTTACCCTTAAAAAGACCTCACAAAAGACATCTCCCCTAGGTAGATTATCAGTGTTGCATTGCCATAAATGAACAAACAAACATTTGTGGAAATTTCATAAAATTTAGCAAAAATGATGCAGCAATTAGAAAAACTATTCTTTCATTCTATATCATTTTAAAGAATTTCCATTATATACATTTATTTTCATTATAGTATTATCAGAATACATGTTTTTGAAAAGTCTCATTTAGAAAGTGCTTCTGAATTACAGTCGACCCCCCCCTATAACACTGTTGATTATTCCGTTTTATATGAATTCCATGTTGTACGAGTCACTTAGATTTTACAAATACATGTGCCGGGCTGTGAACGTCTCACGTATTTGTAAAATCTAAATGACTCGTACAACATGGAATTCATATAAAATGGAATAATCAACAGTGTTATAGGGGGAATCGACTGTATGTTTACGAGCCACAGACTTCTCTATTGTATTTTTTAGTTTGTTCTTCTATATAAAAACTAATTAGTTCAATTGAATTAAATGAATGAAATGCTACAAGTGTCAGACTTGATGTAACACAAAATAAATAAATTAATATAATAAATAACAAAAACATTTATTCTGGAAGATACAAATTTAATTTATAAAAAAAATATAATTAATTTAAATGGTACAAAGAAAAACAATTATAAACTTAATTAAATCACGAAATTAATTTATCTGTATTTAATATTTTTTTTCTCGAAGTTTAATTTTTTTAAATAAAAATTTATTTTATTTACTTATTTTTATCCTTAAGTAAAACGTTAAAATATTTTCTGGATGTCTGCTAGTGAATACGTACATTAAAATAGTATTAATACATCACACTTTATTTTAATTATAATAATTAAAATAATTATTATAGACTAATACAGATATATTTACACAAGTAACTAATTGTATTGCAGTCAATGAAATAAATATAACAAAAATATAAATAAAATAAACATTTTTATTTAGGAAAAAAAAGCATTAAAAATGGCTTTATCACATAAGAAAAATGGTGATGTATTATTAAGTGATGCGTAAACAAATCTGTTCGACACTGAAAAAAAAAATTGTTATAACATTGATACTTATTACAATAAAGAGTTTATTATATGTATTTCCTATTTATATACACAAGATGCTTCAAAAATGTTAGCATTTGTATGGAGAGGATGAAGAATTACTACGTAAGGGCATACTTTTCTGAAAATTCTACAATTGGATCGTGACTTCTTGCACATGAACTAGCCAGAGGACAACCTGCAACTACAAATCTGGCATAACAATTTGTTTCTATTATTGTTACCATTTCTTGTTATTTTATTTAAAAAACTAATTTTTTTATACTTTTAATGATTATGAAATATCAAAAAGGTTAATTGTGAGAGTAGGGATGGGTTTTATAAAAAAAACTGTAAATGCTAATGAGTAAAATCGTCATTAATTCCGACCCTACTTGAGATACGACACACGGCCCCCCCTTATCTCTTTATCCCTCGATCTTTAATCACCAAAATATAATAGCTTCAATCTTCTTTATACGCAAACCTCCTTGAGAAATTTCATAAATTTTGGAGAAAATGCACAGAAGTTATTAAGATTCAAATAGAGTGAACAAACAAAATTTTGCCCCCACACACATTAACGTCCATACACACAGGAAAAACCCCGATTTTATTTTGTATTTCTCGACGTTTCAAGGTATTCTGAGTTCAAAAACGTATAAATCTTGAAAGTCATTGTTTTATCTATCGCCATAAACCGATTGATTTACAGAAACAATGAAAATTAATCATTTTTAACTCACAATTGATTCCAGTGATATTTGAATAATATTAATAGAAATTTCTGTATTTAATAAGGGTAAAAACAGGATTAGATCATGAAAAATATGCTGGTGGTGGCGTGGAGTGGCTAGCTTATAGTCCCAACTTAAACCCATGTGATTCTTTTTTATGGGGCTATCTTAAAGATAGAGTATATCACAATGNGGCTCACGTATTTGTAAAATCTAAGTGACTCGTACAACATGGAATTCATATAAAACGGAATAATCAACAGTGTTATGGGGGGTCGACTGTAACTGAACGTTCGAACATCAAGCTAATAGCTTCCAAAAATAACATCCCCTGGCCATGCCACCACAAGGAGTTTCTTCAGAACAAAGAACTGTATACAGCCTTTGATGCACTTGTGAAAAAACACAGTGTTATCTCAACTACCACCTCCAACCAGTAACCCTTCTCTGTACTTAGTACCTGTAATATTTTGTATCACTTGCAGCCATTAGCTGTCCATGTCCTGTATATATATACATACTTTTGTTTATATTTTTTCCACTGTCACTACATAATATTTATATATTGTACTATTCTCTATTTTTATTATGTTACCATTGTGTAAACACGCTACCTAATTTTAATTATTTACTTTTTCTACAGTTATGTATAATTTTGTTTTTATTATACTCTTATTTGTTTTTTTATTGTTTTTTTTTCACTAGCTTTAATGATTTTTGCTTTGTATTATTTTATTACATTTCATTCAACTGCTGTAATGCATTGCATATATTCCTACACCTTATAATCCACCTGTAATCTTGTTTTGTAGCCCGGCTATGCCTCGCGGTACCGGGCATGTACTTCTATGGTGCCTTAATAAAAAGATTGATTGATTGATTGATTGTATAGCAATATTATTATTTTATAATGATATTTTTATATTTCAATAACTTTCTGACATTTCAAAATTTAAAAGTTATCTATTCAGGAAAAACTGTCAATAAAAAGAGCAAAAAGTGTTTCCTTGATTTAATGTTAATCAAAACTTTGCTTCTTTTTCTACCTTAGTTCTCTGTTGTATTTTGTTTTACAATTTTTGTTGTTGTTTTCTGCATAAAATGTTTGAAAAGTATTGATACATTTAACAGAAAAAATATATATATAAACAATAATTACTATTTACAAAGAAACATTGAAATACTTCCATTTGTGAATGTAAATAAATTGTAATTATAAGTTACAAGAATAAAGAAATAATCAAAACTTTGTAGCAGCTCACAAATGAGAAATTCTGATTTATTGTCTGACTATTTGTGATTAATGTCTGAGTCTATCTATAGTGCACTTTTCCTAATCCAAACCAGTTTTGTTGACTTCGTTACTAAATGTTCCAGCCAATAAACAAAAGAACTTAAGGGCTATTTTTTTTAAAAGCACAAAAATTTTTAAAAATATATATATTATATATATATGTATGTATATACAACTCTTATAATTTGAACTTTTCCACTAATTCAAATAATTCTATGTAATAATTAGTTTAGTTCAAATTAGAGAAGTTAAACTGAATTAATTTCAATATACTATAATTATTGTTGAAACTAATTCAAATTGCTGATAGTTTATGAATCATTATTATTATATAAATATATTTGTTTTTCATTATTCATTTTTAAAGTTTTTGAAAAAATTTATGCATAATTATAAAAATTTAACATTATGAGAGTTAATACATATGAAGTATAAAGGGTAAGTATTTTAACATTGAAGTTTGCCTATTGTAAACTTAAAGAATCTTGATCAGTTTATTATACAGTAGAACCTCCATTATCCGGACCTCCATTATCCGGATTTTCGATTATCCGGATTGTTCAAAATAAACAAAAATTTTACGAATTTGCTGATTTGCACTTGGCGAATTACGACACTGTTTATGTACTTGATGGAATGCATAACATTTTTTGTTTCAACAACGTCTCACTCAGCACAGTGGTCGTAAACTCATAAATATATTTTACGCAGTAATAAAAATATAACTTGACATACGTATTTATAAATAATTTACATTCAAATTACATCTTCTATGACCAAGGGTAAGGCATGGACGACGTGGGCCACCGCCTATGCCTCGCGGTCCGAAAGGCCTCGTGCCTCGAAGGTTCGTGCATTACTTAAAAGCCGTGAACGCGACGAAAAAATTTTACTCGTCATAAAACAATAAATAGTTTGTCAAATTTTTATTCATAAAAATGCAGTTTCAACTGCTTTTTATTTTATAAAATCCGTCTTCTTGCACCACCAGAAAGCCTTTTAAACAATAGGTAGTCTGTTAGCGTCGGTCAGTAGTAGTCCAAATTCGATACGAACGTTTGTTTCTTGAAAATTTGATCACGATTTAAATACAGTGTTTACTTTTAATATTACCGATATGTCATTGAAAAGAAAACGTGTTGTATTATCATTAAAAGACAAATTAAAGTATTTGTTTCGATTATCCGGATTTTTCCTTATCCGGACTACTTTCATCCCCAATTAGTCCGGATAATCGAGGTTCTACTGTATTTATATTCAGAAAATAAAACGTTTTCATTCATTACACCTATAAAATTCAATTTATTAAATGCTAGTGTTTGAACTGAAATTTTTAGAAAAGTTTTAATAGATCTTGAATTTCAAAAATAAGGATTGAATTATTCAAAAATATATAGTATTTTATTTGTCATCATTATTTTAAACTTTTAAGTCTCTATATTTTAATATTATGCTATCATATTTACAGATTGATCATTATTGTAAGAACAATGGATTAGTTATTGCAGGTTATTATCAAGCTAATGAAAACTTTCGAGATTCAAGGTAGGAGTTCGATAAATTTTAATTTTTAATTGTAAAATGTTTTAAATTTTTTAAAATTTTATTTTACAGTCCCGATTTCATAGCTTATCGGATTGCGGAAAGGATTAATGATCACTTTGAAGATTCTTGTCTTGTTATGGTATGTAAAAATATAATACATTTATATATACATTAAAATCAGACTGTATAGCTTAAGATATCAATTATTAACATTTAGGCAACCAAATTTACTGAAATATAATTTTTTATAGAAAATGTTTTCTTTAGCTTTATTCCATTTAGTTCCATTTCAGTTCTAATCAAATTAACAAATACAAACAACAACTTCTAGTTAAATATACCCTAAAACCTTGGCTATAGGCTCTGGCCTATAGCCTAATCAAAGTCATTAACTTATTCATAAAATTCATTGCATTGCCAGAAGTGCTTTAAAAGTGATGCTGTTCTTTTCCTATTGGTTTTCATTCTGGCGTCATACAGACCTAAAATCTTGGCTATAAGTTGCAGCCTATATACAAGAGTGTGTTATCCATGGAAAATTCAACATTCCTGTACAAATTTTGCTTCTTTGGCTTATGCTTGAGGTTGGCCTATAGCCAAGGTTGTTATTTCTTTCTGAATTATAACAACATGAAAGAACAATTGAAAAATGGAAGTAAGTGATAGAGCTGACCACTTTTTTCTGTTTCAGGTTGATAATCAAAAGTTATCATTGGACTGTGATGATTTGGCATTTGTATTATATCAGTATCATGATAATAAGTGGAAACCTAAAGACAAAACTAAGTAATTAAAATTTTTAATTTAGTTCAGATTTATAAATTTAGAATCTTCTAAGATTATAAATGAAAAAATGTGTGTATATTTTTTCAGTGTACATTTGGAACAGGGTATGAAAGCTATGGCAGTTGCTGCAGCTCTTTTACACTCAAAGACATACAGACAACTAAGTGATTTTGATAATCATTTAGATGATGTTAAACATGATTGGAGTAATCAAGGTGTAAATGAAAAAATAGCAAATTGTTTATAGCATTAACTAAATTAAAAAGTTATAAATTGTATGATTTGTTTACATATAAGACACTGGGTACATTCCTGAAGTTAGAATAACTGAGTACCTGCAGTGTGAAATGTTATATATATCAAAGATTTATTATAAAAAAAACCCTATCACAAAAGTTGTGTAAAATTATTTCAATTTTACAAAATATCTTAATTTATCTCTTTACAGAGAGTTTTGTTGATCTGCTTTATCATCAGTGTGATACTTTTCACTAACACTCATCTTGTTGCTATCAAATCAATTTTTATAACAATTCTCACACTATTACTTTTTATCACTGAAAACAAATATTGATTATTAGGTAAATTTAGGAAAAATAAATATCATTGCACATCAATCACATTCATTTTATATATTTTCCTATATCTTAAAATATTATATAATAGATATATAGGTTGTGCCTTTTTTTCTAATCACAATGAATGTAATATTTCATTTTAATGAGTTTCATTGACATTTATAATGAATTGATAATTTAATATATAAAAATATTTGTTACACAATTAAATGTTCATTAAACAATAGAAAAAATTATAATAATGAAATTAAAAATGCAAATGTATAGTATTATGTTTTCACTTGTTTCTATATCAAGTAACTTTATAACCATGAAAATATTACATTTATATGTATTTAACTAGAACTGTTAAGTTTGATGTAGACTATGTCAGAAAATGATGATATTTAATCAAAACCGTTCGTAAAAATAAATATCTTTCAGGAATTTTGATAAAAACGACCATGTTTATATACTTGAGATTACAATTAAAATACGTTTATATTACTAATTATAGAAAAAGTTAGGTTGTGGTGGTAAAACTTCACATCAGTTACATTGGTGTATTATATTTTCTATCTTACTTCAAAACATTGATGAAGGACGAACATCATTTATTTTTATGATCATTATCAGTTTTATTTTACATATTATATCGACAGAAATCTTTTTTGTAAAATAATAAGTAAAACTAAATGCATGTAATTTTATTAAGATACATCTTTTTATTCAAAATTTGTGTGTATATATACTGGTATATATAAATAAATAACATTATTTTGAGATACATTCCATATTGAAATTTCACTGTTGTATGAAATATATTCTGTTATAATAGATATTTAGAATGTTTAAAAAAGGAAAAAACAAATATAATGCACTAAAGTAACTGTGATTAAACTATTATGTACTATTGTATAATCCAAAACTAGATTTTTATTTTATTAGTTTATGTATAACTTTTTATATAATTAATTCATTCAGATTGAACACAAACAATAGTTTAATCAATTGTATATTTTATGTAGTTTCTGATAGAGTCAACATTAAACAAATTTAAAAATCTCTCTTCTAGAAATTTAACAACATATTTATTTATAGATAGCACAGAATATTTCATAATGTTAGCATTTCTGTTATATTTTTGATTATAATGTTGTGAACTTTAAAATAAAATGTGATAAAAATTAATAATAAAGATGTAAAATTTAAGAAATTAATTAGATTTATTCTAGATATTCCAATTTGTTACCTTATAACATTATTATTATTTGCTGTGTGTATTTGAAATATAGTAAATGTGAAAAGATTGGTTGTTAAAAACATTTTATTTTGATCACTGTAAAAAAACTTTTGTTATCCCAGAGAAAACAAATCGAACAATTTGAAAATATCCTGTATTTATGAAGAATTTATTTAAATTGATCTATTGTCGTCAAGTGTTCCATCAGCAGTTGAAAGATTGATAGAAATTAAACGTATTGTTATTGTCATATATCATGTGTTAACATTTTTTGGAATTTAAATTCAATAACACACAATAAATTTTGAATTCCTTTATTTGAAATTCCGAATACATCAACTAACACTTTCTGAATAATAAAACTAAATAGATGTACATTGTGTTCCATAGCAATTTGTCATAGATTGTTAAAAAAAAGGATTAAAAATAGTCAAATCAACTTAACAGGAGTTCATCAGGATTGCTGTGCTCACTCTCCCATATCCAAAGTAACAGTTAAGTATTTGATTCTCTCTACTTTTTTGTCTTGGGGGTTCTCTACCTTGTAACACACCTGAAGTGATAAAATCATTATCAAATAATTTTTACTGTAACTTATTGGCTTCCATTCTTATATCAACAATTTTATTTTATTAAATAACTAGCTGTTACCCGTGACTTCACCCGTGGGGGTTTTGCAAGCAAACCCCATTTATATTCAGTATTTTAACAACCATAGTAATTGTTATATAACACCTACAGCTGAGAATGATGAGAATTACTGAGAATCAAATGAGCTATTTTCAATTTGATAAATTTTCTGGAACGTTTACAATCGTTCTATAATCAAGCCAATATGCAATAACAAATTCGGATTTAAAACAGTTCAAACATTTGGTTAACAGTGGAACCTGGGTATATGACCTTATCCGTTCCTGATGTTTGGACTTATACCAAATAGGACATATACCAAACCAACCTTTCCCATAAGAAGTAATGTAAAAATGATTAATCCATTCTCATGAAAAAAATGGCTGGCTTTAAACACCTCGCTTTCCTGGCTAGTTCCTGCTTGATTTTTCATGAAATCAGCATGTATCTTTTTAGCTTTCTCGCAAATAATTGTTTATGATATGCTGTCTCCAGCACACTGTTTTTCAGTTATCCAAAGCAAAAGCAATTTCTCAACATGATCTAATGTCATTGATCTCTGTTTAGAAATTGATTTAACCCCTTTCACAACATTAGCAGATTTAATAATGTCTTTATTTTTCACGATTGTTGATATCGTTGTTCTCGGAATATGGTATGCAACAGTTAAAATCTCGAACAAGCATGCCACCACCATATTTCTCAACAATCTTTTTTTTCAGTTCCATTGTGATTCTAGTCATTTTTATAGTTTTCTGTTGCTTTTCATTTGCCTTTTTGCAATTCATGATTAATAAAAATAATAAAATTTTACTTACAAATTAAAATCAAAAGAAATTTAACAAAGTTATAAACTGTGGCACTGCGAATGTCTAATCTGGTCTAATACACCGATAGTGCTACTTGTTCATAGATGGCACGCATAATTGAAGTAAGTCGTATACCGAGCAAAATTTGTTTCGTCCAAACAGGACGTATTTTAAAGCAGACGTATACCGAGGTACCACTGTATNCATCATTCTCCACAATGCATGACCATACATTGTCAAATTTGCTGTTGTTGCACTAGCTCATAAGAAGGAGATCAAACATCTTGCATACAATCCAGTTTATCATCATGTAACATTCATCTTTTGATCTGCACCTTCATTCCAATGAATTTACTATTTATTTGTTTTCAGGAACTAAACTTAAGTCTAAATTGCCAGATTATTTTTCAGGTAATTTTTAAATTATGCACCCAAATTTGTTCTTATGGTTAAACAGTTAAGCCACAGTCTTGTGTAAATTTTAATGATTAGAAATTAAGTGTTAAGAAAATGGTATATTAAATGTTAAAAGAGAATTTTTCAAAATAGCAAAGATTACTGTAAAACAGTTTTTATTTATTCATTTTCATACACAAGAGAATTTTGCAGAAATAAATTTTATTTTAAAATCACTTTGTTTAAATGATCTTAATTAAAAACATAACATCCAATGCAGAATCTATTATTATTATACAGTCTGTGCGAGGCTCTTGTAATATTTACATATTTATAACAAATGACAAAACTACACGTAATAGTTTTTATTTTAAAACAATACTTTTATATTCAAGTTTCGACATTAAAGAGCCACGGCACATCTGATCACAGTCCAATTAAGTGTAAATTAACACCAAATTATGTAGAATGAAAAAGTATCTGATTAATTAGAATCCGATGATCATGATAAAGTGAAGTGGAAAGAACAAGGCCCCTGAAATATTTTTCCCATTTAACTTAAGATTCCAATTAATTCTAACAAGCTACTCTTCTTTAGTAATCTTGTACTATAATAACAACGACAAGGAAAACTATTTATAAGAGTATAAACTTGTTCCCAATATTGGATTTGTAAATAAAAATTGCAAAAAAAAAGAGGAAAAAAATCACATCCTATTTTAAAACGATGGCAAGGATGGAAAAAATGCCTGGCACTTTTGTTTCAATGTTATTTTCACTTAACCATAAATATTTGCATAAGTCTTGCAAACACAGTACTTACAATCTTGTCTCTAGTATTTTCTATATGAAGATATTCTATGCTTCTAGTGATTTAAATAAATGTGTTGTTTAAAGTTGGAATTTCTGACTGGATGGCACAATATGATTTTCAAATTTCACAGTACTTTGTTTATTGTAAAAATTTATTATTTTGAGCTTTGGCTTCAGATGATATTCTCCATATTAATTTAGTTTCTGGTTTAAGAAATTACAAGAAATAATAAAACTTTTTTCAATTCCATATTGCTGCAGGAAAATTGTTAACTTCTGTTTGATCTTGTATGGCAACACCATTTACATTATATGATATTCTTATCCTCATCCGTAATAAATTCTATTAAAACAGAGAAAAATTAAATTAATAAAAACTTATCCATATTAAATATAAACTTAACTTGTGATTAATTCAAATTGTAGTGTTAAAGAAATATCAAATTACTATTATAACAAACTTATCTTACACAATCATCAAATCTATTATATATGAAAATGCTGGGGATGTCATAATTTTTACATTAAAAGCTATCATGAGATTTTAAAATAATTCATTTTTATATTCAATTCAAATAAAATATCATAAAAGGCAAAATATTTTCAATTTATTTAACATTTGATTGTTATAAACCTATTTAAGAAACAAGTCATACTCCATAAGTAAAATTAATTGATATACATAAATTGATTTTTAGTAATTTTTTTTACAACTAAAAATGCAATAGGAGAGTTTCTCTAACTATAACATAAATTGAATTATGTATTTGCTGTTTAACTGTTTTTTTAAAATTCTTAGAAATATCTATGCTTGTTTTTGAACTGCAAATGTAGCTATTCTTTGGTATCTTTGGCATTAGTGTTGCTGCATTTCTTATAAAATTTGAATTTAGGAAGAAGAGATTATATGTTTCTAAAGATGAATGATAAATGTTGAAACATTTTCAAGCATAACTTAAGTTATTAGCACTGTAAGCAGTTTCTTGTGCATATTTAAGAATAAAACATTATTATTATCATCATCCTGCAATATAATTACTATCTTCTTTTAGAATATAAAAAAAATTAATTTGAGACCAAACAAAAAAAATCCCTTTTCTAGTGTAATTTTAATGGCATTCTCCTAAACAGAGGTAAATACATTAATTCAAGCAATTTAAATGTATATAAATACACATACTGTACACAAAATGTCTATCCTACAAATTACAAAAGTAAATTTGTTTCTTTTGGTTTTTTTTTTGTTCACCTGGATAGGTCCTATAAATTTAATATTTACATATTTCTTACAATATAAAGATAAAATGACAGTCTTCAGTTTTTTCACATAGAAACACTGGCTATGCAGTGGTTATTAATTAAAAAATAATAGATGTAAAAGTAAATTTTAGAGAGTTGTGCAATCTGCAGTTTGATAAATTTGTCTTCAATTCAATATATTGTTAAGTACTACGTTATTTTTATAAACATTAATTTTAACTTATCCTCACTTTTAATCTGGATGAGCTCCATTTATGTTAAAATGAAATTTTCACAGTATTAAATATTTTTTAAACCAATTCAAACTAGGGTAGGCACAATACAGTATATGCAATAGTGAGACATTAAATAACTAAACTAGTTTGTAAATGAATTTGACAGATGGCACAGAGTTAATTACACTTTACCTTAGTTAAGATATTGAAACCCCTTTTAAGAATGAAACTTATAAACTAAAATGAGTGATGTTTGCACTCATTATTTGCAACAATTATCATAAAGCATAGATATTATATATTAAACTAATATGTTATGAGTGCATTTAAAATTTTTTATTTATATCCACTTATTAAAAATTATGTATTTCTGACACACTAGCAACTTTCTTTATAAATCCTATGTAGTTTTTATTATAAACATATGCAAAATTAATATATTAAACACAGATTTTTTAAGAGATTTGTTTTAAAAAAGTTTTTCAACTTTGTAAAATTTCATATTAATTATATATATGGCTAAACAACACCAAAAAAGTATAAAAATCAGAAATTTATTTGACTAGAAGATTTTCGAATCTTCTAGTCAAATAAATTCTTTCAGACTAGAAGATTTTTGAATCTTCTAGTCTGAAAGGAATTGATGCTTTACAGCAGGGGTCGCAAACCACATATGGCTCATTAAGGCTTCGTGTCCAGCCCACAGCCTCAAAGATTTTTTTTCTAAAAATTGACGTTTATAACATCTCTCGGGAGATTAAAACAGAAAAAATGCAAATGTCTAACTGTTTATGTAAGTCAAAAGATCTGGCAACAAATGGGCCATTGTTAGAGTCTTTTTAATTACAGTATGTTTTGGTTTACCAAATAATATCGAATATGGCTTGCGTCTGATATACATCTATTTGACTGGCCCTTTGCTGCATTTGAGTTTGAGAGACCCCTGCTAGAAATGTCTTCAAGCTTTAAGCAGCTTTAAGACATTTCTATAAAATTTTCTGGTTTCTATACTTGAATTTGTTTTGATTATTGTTTATGTCAAAGAATCATTGTTCTCTTCTATAGGAAATATTTAACAAAAGAAAATAGTTACCCATTTTATTAGATGAAAAAACTAAGAATATTTCAAAATTAAAAGCTGCTATAATTGAATTGAATATATAACTAACCTTATTAGGATTAACAATTTTAATTGTTTGCTGAATATTTCCAGAATTACTTGGTGGTATGACTGTACTTGTTGGTGGAAGGAGTTGTAGTTGGAATGTCTATAAAATGAAGTAATTAAATTTAATGAAAATTTTGAAATTTTAATATATTATTTCAATTAAAATACCTAAATAATCTCTCTGTAAAGAAATTATGCACCAATCGAGAAAAAAGAAATATTTGGTTTTTATTTTTTCCTAACTCTCTAGCAACATAAGCATACAAATGTATATATATATATATATATATATATATATATATATGAAACAATTATAGAATACTACAGGGTCCACTCATTGATCAAGTAATCTTCATTTTGTAAAAAAAGAAATATTAGTCAAAGAAACTCTGAAACAGATTTATTCATAAGAGATTAGGAAAACTAAAAGTTTATAGTTAGAAATACTACTTAATTGATTACTTAATATATTCAGCCCATTATCTAGAATTTCACTTTTCTCACCAATTAATTCTCCTCCTTTTCCTTCAGCAGTCAACCAATTATTGGTTTTTGTAAAGTAAAAATAATTAATAAATGACAGAGCAGATTTTGCTTTTAAAATATAATTGATAAAATAAATAATACATTAAGCAATATAAAGCAAATTCTGTTGTTTGAATGTAAAATATATTGCATTTAACAAACAGAATTTCCTTTATGTTGCTTAATGTATTATTTATTTTATCAATTTAAGTAGTATTTCTAACTATAAAACATTGTAATTTGTCTTTGTATATACTGAAAATTAAATTATTAAAGAGAAGCAAAAAAAGAAAGGAACCAGTAATTTCATTTAACGTAAAAATAGAAAAACAACCTTCTAAAATTTTTTCAAATTTGTGAAAATAAAGCATAAGTCTTTTNTGGACTGTGATGATTTGGCATTTGTATTATATCAGTATCATGATAATAAGTGGAAACCTAAAGACAAAACTAAGTAATTAAAATTTTTAATTTAGTTCAGATTTATAAATTTAGAATCTTCTAAGATTATAAATGAAAAAATGTGTGTATATTTTTTCAGTGTACATTTGGAACAGGGTATGAAAGCTATGGCAGTTGCTGCAGCTCTTTTACACTCAAAGACATACAGACAACTAAGTGATTTTGATAATCATTTAGATGATGTTAAACATGATTGGAGTAATCAAGGTGTAAATGAAAAAATAGCAAATTGTTTATAGCATTAACTAAATTAAAAAGTTATAAATTGTATGATTTGTTTACATATAAGACACTGGGTACATTCCTGAAGTTAGAATAACTGAGTACCTGCAGTGTGAAATGTTATATATATCAAAGATTTATTATAAAAAAAACCCTATCACAAAAGTTGTGTAAAATTATTTCAATTTTACAAAATATCTTAATTTATCTCTTTACAGAGAGTTTTGTTGATCTGCTTTATCATCAGTGTGATACTTTTCACTAACACTCATCTTGTTGCTATCAAATCAATTTTTATAACAATTCTCACACTATTACTTTTTATCACTGAAAACAAATATTGATTATTAGGTAAATTTAGGAATAATAAATATCATTGCACATCAATCACATTCATTTTATATATTTTCCTATATCTTAAAATATTATATAATAGATATATAGGTTGTGCCTTTTTTTCTAATCACAATGAATGTAATATTTCATTTTAATGAGTTTCATTGACATTTATAATGAATTGATAATTTAATATATAAAAATATTTGTTACACAATTAAATGTTCATTAAACAATAGAAAAAATTATAATAATGAAATTAAAAATGCAAATGTATAGTATTATGTTTTCACTTGTTTCTATATCAAGTAACTTTATAACCATGAAAATATTACATTTATATGTATTTAACTAGAACTGTTAAGTTTGATGTAGACTATGTCAGAAAATGATGATATTTAATCAAAACCGTTCGTAAAAATAAATATCTTTCAGGAATTTTGATAAAAACGACCATGTTTATATACTTGAGATTACAATTAAAATACGTTTATATTACTAATTATAGAAAAAGTTAGGTTGTGGTGGTAAAACTTCACATCAGTTACATTGGTGTATTATATTTTCTATCTTACTTCAAAACATTGATGAAGGACGAACATCATTTATTTTTATGATCATTATCAGTTTTATTTTACATATTATATCGACAGAAATCTTTTTTGTAAAATAATAAGTAAAACTAAATGCATGTAATTTTATTAAGATACATCTTTTTATTCAAAATTTGTGTGTATATATACTGGTATATATAAATAAATAACATTATTTTGAGATACATTCCATATTGAAATTTCACTGTTGTATGAAATATATTCTGTTATAATAGATATTTAGAATGTTTAAAAAAGGAAAAAACAAATATAATGCACTAAAGTAACTGTGATTAAACTATTATGTACTATTGTATAATCCAAAACTAGATTTTTATTTTATTAGTTTATGTATAACTTTTTATATAATTAATTCATTCAGATTGAACACAAACAATAGTTTAATCAATTGTATATTTTATGTAGTTTCTGATAGAGTCAACATTAAACAAATTTAAAAATCTCTCTTCTAGAAATTTAACAACATATTTATTTATAGATAGCACAGAATATTTCATAATGTTAGCATTTCTGTTATATTTTTGATTATAATGTTGTGAACTTTAAAATAAAATGTGATAAAAATTAATAATAAAGATGTAAAATTTAAGAAATTAATTAGATTTATTCTAGATATTCCAATTTGTTACCTTATAACATTATTATTATTTGCTGTGTGTATTTGAAATATAGTAAATGTGAAAAGATTGGTTGTTAAAAACATTTTATTTTGATCACTGTAAAAAAACTTTTGTTATCCCAGAGAAAACAAATCGAACAATTTGAAAATATCCTGTATTTATGAAGAATTTATTTAAATTGATCTATTGTCGTCAAGTGTTCCATCAGCAGTTGAAAGATTGATAGAAATTAAACGTATTGTTATTGTCATATATCATGTGTTAACATTTTTTGGAATTTAAATTCAATAACACACAATAAATTTTGAATTCCTTTATTTGAAATTCCGAATACATCAACTAACACTTTCTGAATAATAAAACTAAATAGATGTACATTGTGTTCCATAGCAATTTGTCATAGATTGTTAAAAAAAAGGATTAAAAATAGTCAAATCAACTTAACAGGAGTTCATCAGGATTGCTGTGCTCACTCTCCCATATCCAAAGTAACAGTTAAGTATTTGATTCTCTCTACTTTTTTGTCTTGGGAGTTCTCTACCTTGTAACACACCTGAAGTGATAAAATCATTATCAAATAATTTTTACTGTAACTTATTGGCTTCCATTCTTATATCAACAATTTTATTTTATTAAATAACTAGCTGTTACCCGTGACTTCATCCGTGGGGGTTTTGCAAGCAAACCCCATTTATATTCAGTATTTTAACAACCATAGTAATTGTTATATAACACCTACAGCTGAGAATGATGAGAATTACTGAGAATCAAATGAGCTATTTTCAATTTGATCAATTTTCTGGAACGTTTACAATCGTTCTATAATCAAGCCAATATGCAATAACAAATTCGGATTTAAAACAGTTCAAACATTTGGTTAACAGTGGAACCTGGGTATATGACCTTTTCCGTTCCTGATGTTTGGACTTATACCAAATAGGACATATACCAAACCAACCTTTCCCATAAGAAGTAATGTAAAAATGATTAATCCATTCTCATGAAAAAAATGGCTGGCTTTAAACACCTCGCTTTCCTGGCTAGTTCCTGCTTGATTTTTCATGAAATCAGCATGTATCTTTTTAGCTTTCTCGCAAATAATTGTTTATGATATGCTGTCTCCAGCACACTGTTTTTCAGTTATCCAAAGCAAAAGCAATTTCTCAACATGATCTAATGTCATTGATCTCTGTTTAGAAATTGATTTAACCCCTTTCACAACATTAGCAGATTTAATAATGTCTTTATTTTTCACGATTGTTGATATCGTTGTTCTCGGAATATGGTATGCAACAGTTAAAATCTCGAACAAGCATGCCACCACCATATTTCTCAACAATCTTTTTTTTCAGTTCCATTGTGATTCTAGTCATTTTTATAGTTTTCTGTTGCTTTTCATTTGCCTTTTTGCAATTCATGATTAATAAAAATAATAAAATTTTACTTACAAATTAAAATCAAAAGAAATTTAACAAAGTTATAAACTGTGGCACTGCGAACATCTAGTCTGATCTAGTACACCAATAGTGCTTCTTGTTCATAGATGGCAGGTATAATTGAATTAAGTCGTATACTGAGCAAAATTTGTTTCGTCCAAACAGGATGTATTCCGAATTGGACGTATTCTAAAGCAGACGTATACCGAGGTACCACTGTATATAAAAATGTTTATAACAATGTCTGAAATGTTATCAATTTAAGGGAAAGTATGGAAATCAATTTCAAAAGCCGTTCTTTAGGTTAAGCCTTAATGCTCCTTCTCCCTCCGTGGGGGAGTTTCGAAAAATCCCTTATTAGTGTGCGTTTTCATGACATATCCTAACTGTGTACCAAATTTCACCTCTAGGTTCAGCGGTTTGCTCTGGGCGATGATGAATCAATCAGTCAGGACAAGTAACTTTATATATTTAGATCAGTAAATACAGTGTATTTACTAGTCACATTACTTTTTTACTTCTTTCCAGGAATACAAGTAGGATAGTGCTCAAACTATCTTCATGGACCAGTTTTCTTTTTTCCGGTTCCTTGTGGACCAAGATTTTTTAAAAATTAAAAATAGTTATAGAACTGAATTCAAATGCATTTTAAAAAATTTTTAGCCCAAATTAGTAAGAAAACTACAATAAAATTTTGTTCTAATTACAAAAAAAATGTGTTTGTGGGCATTTTTCAAGTAATCTTCTGGGCTGATTTCAATCCACAAGTCCATCCCTGCTTCTAAGTGTTTAAATGAAGAAGAATGTAAGTAATAATTTGTTTTTAAAAACTTTTAAAGACAGTTTTAAGTAGTTTTATTAACAGTATATAAAGTTATGAAATTT